GATCTCCTTGCTGATTTTTTGTCCTGATGATCTATCTAGGGTTGTGAGTGGGGTATTAAAGTCCCCAGTTATGATGGTGTTAGAATCAATATCTTTCTTTAGTTTTCCTAGAAGTTGATTTATGAAAGTTGGCGCACCTATGTTGGGTACATATATGTTTAGTATAGATATTTCTTGTTGATGGATTGAGCCTTTTATCATTATGTAGTGGCCTTCTGCATCTTTTTTGATTTTTAATAGCTTGAAGGGTATTTTTTCTGAGATTAAGATCGCTACTCCTCCTTTCTTTTGTATTTCCTTTGCCTGAAAGTTTGTTTCCCATCCTCTTACTTTGAGTCTGTGGGTATCCTTTCTAATGAGGTGAGTCTCTTGAAGGCAATAGATTGTTGCCTGATGATATTTTATCCATTTTTCCATTCTATGTCTTTTCAGGGGTGCATTTAGTCCATTCACATTTAGGCTAATAATTGAAATGCAAGAGTTGATCCCTGTCATAAGGTTCTTACAGAGTTGTTCCTGTTTGTTTGTTGTCTTTCTTTGGGTTCTGGAGTTGGCTCATATGTGTTTTTAATCTTTTGCCTGTACTCTTTTGAAGAATGTTGTTGTTCTTTTTTCTTTTTCTTCTGTGTTCAGTACTTAAGTGTTTCTTGTAGAGGTGGTCTGGTCACAGCGTAGGTTCTTAGGGATTGGATATCTGGAAAAGATTTCAATTCTCCCTCACTAATGATGCTTAGTTTGTCTGGATAGGTGATTCTTGGTTGAAATTGTTTATCTTTTAGAACTCTGAAGATAGGGCTCCAGGCTCTCCTAGCCTGAAGGGCTTCTGTGGATAAATCTGCTGCTATTCTAATTGGTCTTCGCTGGTAGGTAGTCTGGCCTTTTTCTCTTGCTGCCTTTAGGATTTTTTTCTTTTATAGCTACTTTGTTTAGGTGAATTATTATGTGTCTGGGAGTTGGTCTTCTCATTTGTTGTCTTGCAGGGGTTCTCTGAATCTCTTGTGCTTGAATTTTTTCATCCTTGATGAGATGAGGGAAATTTTCTTGAATGATTTCATGAAATGTTTGTTCCAGTGTGGCTTCTGTTTCTCTCTCTGCCTCAGGAAGCCCAATTACTCTTAGGTTTGGTCTCTTGAAGTGATCATTCATCTCTTGCAGGTTTTGTTCTGTCTTTTTGAGCTTCTTTTCTATGCTTCTGACAGTTTGGGTTAGTTCTGTGTTTTGGTCTTCGAGCTCTGAGATTCTTTCTTTTGCTTGACTATTTCTGCTTTTCATGCTTATTAGTCTGTTATTCATTTCCATCACAGTATTCTTTACTGCTGTCATTTCTGACATCAGCTCCTTCCTATTTTTCTCTTGTCTCTCCTCAATTTTTTTAATTCTCTCCATTAATGACTTGATGTCTTCATTTGTTGCATGTGACCAGCCATTCTGGGGGCTCTTCAGTGTTTGTGTTCCAGAATCTGTTTTCTCAGTGTCTTATTTCCCAGAGGTCTTGTGAGACCTGTATTCTTCTTTTGGTTTTTCTTCATTTTTGTGATTTTTTTCCCCCTCCCTACTTTTTCTTTCCTCCGACGTCACTGTCTTCTTTAATTTTGTTATTCAGTGGTAAAGGGATTGGTTTTACTTCTGTTTGTTCAATCTCCTATTCTTTATGTATGCCCTCTTACTTTGTTCAATTCTGGAGTCGCACTGTAGGTTGGGGGTGGTCCTCTTTGCAGTTTTGAGATTTACTTAAGAGGGGAGCTGTGATTCAAAATCTATCTGCAGGTCCTGGTATTCGCTCACACGTGTGTGGATAATCTGGAACCCACTTCCCACTGCCTTGGAATCTGTGCGTGCAGTGGGTCTGTAGGTTAAAATGTGGTTAGCAGAGGGAAGAGAATGGAGCAGACAGTGGGTTGAAGAGGGGGTTGGAGAGGTAGAGGAGTAAGGGGGAAACAAACGTGTGCCAACAAATGGAGAGAGAGACCTTTACTGAAACAGATAAAAACAATA